AATCCATCAATAGATAGAAGCCATGTGAAGAGTCTCTTAAGCAAGGACGAAACCGGTCATGACAGCTTGTCTCAACATAGCTCAAGTGACAATAAATGAGGTTGCTTAGAATCAATGTGCATGAGTATACATGAAATCTTTGCCTCAAGCCTTATCTTGTGGTACGAGTTTCAGGGTGTCCATGAAATGCGCAGTTTTTAGATATCTCTTCTTATGTATATGAACTCTAATGCTGTATTTTCAGATCTTTTTTGAATGTTATAGTTAAGAACAGCAATTTGAGTAAATACAGAAAAAGATAAATGAAAAGCTGGATTAAAAATTCATGAAGTTTCATTTAATAATAGATATTTTTGGTTCATTATTTTTTGTCGTAAAGGAGACCATCAATAATAGTCTCTATTTGTTCAGCAGCACTGCTACCACCAGTGTCTAAAATATAGGATGGTGCAACTTGTTTGTTATTTTTAATAAATAAAAACGTTGGTGGCGTTGCTTTGACGTTGTATTTTTCAAAGATATCATGATTACAACTTTCCTTATCGCATATGAGAAAACAAACACGATCTTTATAATTATCATCACTACTCCATAAATCAACATAACTTGCCATTCGACCGCCAATCGAATCACGTCTAAGAGAAGAAGAAGCAGAAACCAGTTATAGTCGTCAGTACAATAAACTTACTTATCAAAGAAGAAAATCACAATTAATTGGGTCTCAGGACTTAGATGTGCCTGAATATTGTCGAATTGAGCTAACGATTCAACTTTCGTAGTCATGAGGAGAAAATATGAAATAGTTCGAAGTGTTTATCTATAAATAAATAACGCATGCATTTTATGACGTAAAAAAACAAGGCATAGACACGTGACTCCATACTAAAGCAAGCAAACTAAAATGAATAGCGTTTAGAAAAATGCAACTAAAACTTAAATAGCAAGAAATGAGAAAATATGAAAAAAATAGAATAAATTTTGTTCATGGTTTCTTGATTGCTGATGTCCGAAAGTTTTCGACTACTGATCGCAATTGCTGAATTTCATCATGCATCGTATCAATTGTACGACTAGAACAGACATAAAAGTAGGATAATCAACATATAGGATTTTAGAAATCGATTATAAATCCTTGAAAGATTTAATTAACCTGAGTAGTCACTATACTCACTCTGGAATTTAGGAAAACGAAAAAAAATGAAAATAGTTTTGCTTATGACCAGATGTAAAATACAAGTGCTCACTATAGTTTGTGTAGCAGTTCTAGAAGAAGATAATTTATATAGATTGACCTAGAACGATATCGACTTGTCATCTACACTAATTATCCAGTGTTTTGACAGCTTGAATAATTGAAGCGTATTATCGTTGATGATTTCCAACTTACCTTGAATTCACAACAAATCCATTTTTTACCACTGATTTTGCATAACTTTTTGTTGCTTCATTTTCAAAGCAATCCCAACGGTAGTTCATTAATTCTTCGTTCTTTGGAATTATTTCTTTCGATGAGAGAAAATATTATTTAGCACATATACTATTTTCTGTTTCTTACTGAAAACTTTTTCTTTTGTTTTCTGAAGTCTTTCACCACAATGATTATTGTAACAGTATTTATGAAGTTTTATAATTATAAAAAATATACGCGTTACCATGAACCATATATGTGGTAAAATAATCAACGGTGGATATGAGAACAGAGGTTTTTCGGAATATTCACGTATCAATAGATATCGCTGATATTGCCAATGAAATTCTGTATTCCCTTGAACGTTATTTATTGTAAAACTAAAAAGTTAAGAAATAGCTTATGCTATCTCAAATATCAAGTCAACTTACGCAAACACAGCAATAAGAAGATTCAAGATAAGTATACTGATAAATAGCATATGCATTGCTAACAAAACATTCGTAACAGTTATTTCTGCAATGTAAGTTCCGTTTTTGTTTCCAGACATTTCTAAAAACATAATGGCATATCTCTAGGATTACTCTTAAAACACTACTTGCCCTCAAGAACTTTATCACTACCACCAAATAAAAATGAATAGGGAGGATAAAGTATTTCACTAAATATGCCATGAATATTGAAACCGACTTTGTTGTGCATGATCATAGCGCGCGAAACAACACCATAAGCAGTAATAAATACAAATATGACATATAAGAAAGAGGTCAAATCTCGTGTCTAGATAACAAGATAGAAGGTCATTTTTAAACACTCCACTAGATCAATTACCATAGCTTTAATCATCAGAAGTTTAGGTCCAAGATAGCTATGTGAAATCATAAATTTCAAAGATTGCACATACCACAATTCCAAATCAACAGCCATAAGGATCCTTAGAATATTTTTTACGTGTTCTGTTAAAATAAATAGTAATACCTTACCTTGCAGCCGTTAACAAGTGTGGCGTATTACCCATAGTATGTCGCATTATGATGCCAGTATAAAACAGTGCGTATAAAGCAATATGAAAAATATTTGTCATTAATAATAGCAGTTGTGATTCGACAGCATCTTTACACTCATGCATATTTGTTACAAATGTACTGTATTTCTAAATGATAAATGTAATAGCAGATAGATCTACGACAGTTAGCAGCCCATAGAGGTGGACCATTAAACTGAATTGCAAAATAACTTAACTTTTTCTACTTGATACTTAATACTTAATTCACTTATAATTAAGTGAAAAACTATAAGTGTGAGTGAAATACAGTTCACTTCAATGTTTTTTGTTACGAGAAGGATTTTTTTCAAAATGGCTATTGCTCTTAAAAGTTTGAACGAAAGCTTTTCAAGGACCAGAAATCAGATTCTCCGACTCATTTTTTACAGTTGGAGTCCAAGAATCACACCAACACAAGGCTATTTCTTAAAACTAGGAATGGTATGCACAAGTGAAGAAAATTCCTCCTCAAATCTGATTTCTCTATTTTTGACCAATCACATTGCAGCAACAAATTTTTCCTCTATTAATCAAACAAAACATGAGGTTTCCTAGGCTCATATGAAAGATGATCCTCATAAACCCATAAATTAGCTCGATCCCGACTATATTTCTTTCGGTTAATAGTGCAGAAAATCCCTCCTAAAATCTGATTGGTCCAATATTGCAACCAATCAGAATATCGACAAAGAAACCAACAATTGCCGTTGTTGTTAGTCACGAATTAATGATTGAGAATAGATTTCGTCACAAATTTCAAAAACTGAATCATAGAATCTGACCTTTTAAACTAGGAAATCTTTCTATCAAAACTTTTTAAAATATTGTTATTTTTCGAGGAATTGGCTTGTGCTCTAGAAAAATAGCCAAAAGCTAGTTGCATTTGATTAACGGTTATCAGTTAATTACTTAACTATAAGTGAGTGAATTAAGTTGAAAAGTTAATATGTTAAATTAAGCGTTAAGCTTTTCATTAACACTTGATATTAAGAAATTATGTTTACAGAGAAAATTTAGTTTTGTAATATTAGGTGTTAAGTTATATTACTTAATTAAGCAACATAATTAAGTCAAATTAGAAATAATGGTCTACTCCTACAGCTGAATGAATCAAAAGAGTTGCGCTCAAATTTATGTTGATCAGCTCTTTTCATATGAACGGTATTTGATCCAGATCAAAAGAGAGACTTTCTCTTTAGTGATGAACTAGATGCATCTCTATTCAGTTCTGTAGAAATAAAATAAACAGCGACTTCAGATAAGTTACGTCAAAAAAGCTGGCCACTTCGTATTCGCTTGTTTAAATGATATGGAACTGTCGCATACCTACTGGCAGAAGATTCAAGCGGACGTTAAATTTTACCTGACGAACATGTTCGAAAAGAATTGTTGTTACTGCGATGATCGCAAAAATTTCTGTCCAATGAGGAATTTTTTTATTCAGTGGTGAATCAAAATGATATAACATCATATAACTAAATGTAAGTAGTAACCATACGTTAGCAATCTGTAAAGAAATCAAAGTTAGAATACATGCAAACATAGATTATGAGAAGAATACTCCTTACAAAGTCGTAGATCATTTTGATCATTGGGCATTCGTGAAAGCTGATAAATCGTTTCAAATATGAACGACACGTTAATTTCTGTGAATCGTCAGAGGGCATGTAATGATTGATACCATAGGAATACAGTCTATATTGTCACACGTTTTCATGGAATAGATTTATACGAAATATCGCTTACTGTTCATCTTTATTCAATGGTGACTCCTGTTGCGATTCTTCTTGTTGTTGATTGCGATAGGCAACATAGAATGGTGCAAGAACACCAAAAGTCAACAAACCAAGAGCAATCATTGGCTTTTCCGCATAATTGTGATTGATTTCATCAAGTTTATCGTACCATGCTTCATTCATGACTCGATCAAAACAAGCCGTCAATAAAAATTTCTTACTTTTAGCTGACACTGCAACCTAAGAGAAAAAAAGGACAACTAATATCAAGCGAAATATTTCCAATCTCACATACTTGCACACATGTTATATTACCAAAGAGTGATATCTGTCGTAGAATTAGTTCACAGGCTTTTGTTTCATTATACTTATAACAACTATCGATGCACTCTATTGCATATAATTCAAATTCGTCTGCTATATTCTTCATTTTTCTCGCGAATTGAATAATATTCGTCTTTTGTGAGTATCGTGTGAATATTTTTGATGCAATGAGTGCAGCACAGATTCTTGGTTTCAGATGAAGAAGAAGTACTTTAGCTAATTCGACATAACCCATAAATAAAGTCCATAAAAATACATCTCGCAGCTTGTCTTGCTGTGGATACTCTATAAGAAAGACAGTGTCATACTGAACATTTGTGCGTTCTAGATTTGGATACCATTTTCTGAACCTTTTAAGATTCTAGTAAAATATGATTCTATCTCGCACTTTTTTCTACTTTCAACAATGGCCCTAGTCTGGTAAAAAGCCGTCCGTCCAGCACACTTAATCTAGTACTGCTGACTAATCCTATATGCAACTCGCTACTTCGATTCTTAATCCTTAAATCCTATATCTAACCCTTATTTCTATCCTTAACGTCTTGTTGCTCTATCTGGGCATATCACAATACCAATACCATTTGATATCGATGGTATTGATACTGATATTATAAGTCGTTACTTTCGAGAAATAATCTTCTCATAATACAAAACTCAAATCCGTAAATTTTGAGAAACCATCCGTAGATTTAGATTTCTTGATTCCTCAAGCCTTCGATCAAACTTTATAAGAAATCATTATTTTCGAGAAATAGCCTTTTCCTAATGAAATAATACGGACTTGATTATTTCGTTAGGAAAAGACTATTTCTTGAAAATAAAGATTTTCTACAAAGTCTGAGCGAAGGTTTTCGGGGCTGGGGAACCAAACCTACAAGTAGTTTTTCGAAATTTGTGGGACGGTATTTTTCATTATGGAAAGGCTATTTCTCGAAACTAACGAATTTTTATACCAATACCAATACGATCCCATACCAATACCGTGTTGGTAGTATTACGTCCCTAGCTATATCTAACCCCTTATTCCTATCCTTAACACCTCATTTATATATCTAACTCCTCATTTCTACGTTGTTCGCACAATAGTGCAGACAAATGTTACTCAAATCTGATTGACTGAAGGTCTTTTTCTGTCAACCGATTCCATTTCAGAGATGTTGATGTCTACTACAGTATGGAAAAAACATAATGTTATTCGGATCATATGAAAGGGAAACCCTATTAATTTCCAGGTTGGCCCGAACAATGTTTTGTTCGTACAATAGTTTAGAAAAAATAGCCTTTTCCATTAGCTAATCAAAAATCAGCAAGCATTTCCGCCACGATTGTACGAACAAAACAAGGATCGAGTAGTTTGCAATCTGATTGCTAAAAAAAAACATTAGTGAAATTTGATTGTCTGAAAGAAAGTTACGGTGCAAACTGATTGGGTAGAGAAATATTGTGAAAATATGGATGATTACCGATGTGTATTGGTCAGGAGCAGTGAATACTGGTGACGATGAACCGATATATGATCGTCACCGTTGCATCACTACAGTTAAACGTTACTATTAACGACTTCAAGGGCGATTATCGCCTCTTTTTATTGGTACCACGAATGGTGTTCCTGCGACATTTGCTCTGTAGCAACACTTGTTTCCCAACGATACTTGCTCCCCGAATAGTTGAGCGTGTTGGTGCAAGTGCTGGTGTAGATGAGGATGAAGGCGGGAGAAACACAGCGAGTGGGTTTCGGTTTTGATTGGAGGTTAGTTTGGGCCTCGGAAGCAAATATCGTAGGGGCATCTGTCCGAGAAGCATCTTTCATGAAACCCTTTTTATTATTTTTAGATAGGTAAAGCTATTCTAGATTTACATTAACTAAGCCACGTTCAAAAAATGATCTATGTTAGTTCAAGCGACTTGTGCGAGAAGCATCTTTGTTAAAAAAACGATACGAGATAAAACTCTTCAGAACACCTAGAACTATTTTTTATTTAGCATAGTTCTTTAAATTATCTAGAACCATGGATGGTTTATTAAAAACCGAATGAAACTTTAAAAGGTTCAGCATCTTCGCTAAAACCCTTAATGATTCCTTAGGATACCTTTTTTCTTTGAAGAGTCATCTTTGTTGTTTGAAGGGTCATCTTTGTCGTATTCCATTTTGAGTACCAATTGATATAAGTGGGTCGTATTAGGCTCTGACTTCCTATAGCATCTACAAACATTTTTAGTCACTCCATTCCAGTTACGTTTGAGTGTATCCAAAATATTCGTTCTTAGCGATTTTTTTGAATAAAAAGGCTGAATAAAGGAGCCAATCAATTGTTCGCACAGTAGATCAATGACATCAAGTGTTTCAGGTACTTTATTGTTCTCTTCGCCTTGGATAGGAGGCAGATATTGTTTCTAAAATATGAATGTCCGATAGTTTTTTAAACTAATGTCCAGTGAAATGTATATACCAGATGTGGCTTCTTCCAGACATCTTCATACAAATCTAAGACGTCCTTCAACTGCAGCATGCCCCAAACATCATATTTAGATCGAAGAAAATAATCAACCAACATGGGTTTGTTAGTTTTGATTGAAGTGCGAAACTGTTTCGTAATTTCACTGGAAAACTAATAACAAAATTTGAAATTTTCTACAAAGTTAAACGAATAGGAAGAAGTGAATGCTATACTATGCTTCATAGGTAAAGAGTTCAATATTTGTCTAGCAAACCGATCTCCATTATTTTAAATTCGGCTTTACAGTTCAACGGGATAATCTTGACTGGGATGGAGGTCGAGTTAACAGTGATGTTTTTAGAAGCGAGATTGGGATCGAGTCTACGGAGTCAGAATTAACTTTTTGGGAGCAAATTGACTATTTCTTCACCCTTTCTCAATCGTTTATTTATTTTTACGTACTAATGTTAAACAAAGAAGTATGGGATCCACTTTGAGCCCAAAAAATTGGCTAGAGAAACAACTTTTTCCTGAAACGTTCTCCCAAATTTTAAGTTTATAAATATCTCCAATATTGTTAATAAGAGAAGACTTTTCTAGAAAGAATGAAGACGTATAAGGTTACAAATAGATTTACCATTACTTTCAGACCTAACATTGTGCAATAGATGTGGAACAGTGGATTTCAAGAATAGAAACATCTTCATACTGTTATGGATATATTTCAGTGTCATATTATAAAGAATATGACTTGCATTTTATACAACATCCTCACAATGTTTCTATAATACGTGGTTACTTATATACTGAACAGAGTTTCTTCTAGAATTCTGGGAATACATGATCAAACTGAGACGTAGTATTGTATTGAACAATTCGCACAATAATCAGCTCAGCAGCTCTATATCCTATATCCTTGACGGTTATTGACTGTTCATCGACTAAACACGTCAAAATAGCGTGCAATTTTGTTATTATTTCAACACTATCTTAAGAATGGAGCAATAGATATTTATGATTCTTTCTAATGCTATAACTCGAAGTTTGAGAAACCTACTAAATTACATCAATTAGTGAGAAGTACTATGTTGACCAAACTGATCATGTTTACAAAACGTAGTTGCATCATGATGCATAGTCATAAAATCGAACCAGTTCCATGACAATACTCAGAAACGTTAAATTACAATCGATTACGTGTTCTTTCGAAGTTCTATATATCCTATTCAAGAAAAATCATGTTTCAATGAACCCAATGATCAAAATCACAACACGCCGTCAAAAGCGAGTAATAACACAAACGAATTTTTTGGCACTCGCTGATTCTTATAACCAATCATTCTTGTTTTGTGATATGTCAGCAAACATTACAATACTGAATTTCTATCTTAATGTCAATAAAAAGATTTTCAGAGTTGTCTTTTTTTTACTGCGCAGAATTGGAGGCGGAACAAAAGACAGTCAACCCGGTCATAAAGTATTCTCGTGAGCAACCATGTATATTCATCTTATAAAAGTCTAGAAAATGGACTAACCTGTGTTCGTTCTCCTTTAATATCTTTAAGCACTTGCTTTAGTCCTTCTAATGAATTCCATTTTATCGATAGATCTAGTAAGGTTTTTATATCTGTTTGTGAATGCTCCTGATTTGCAAGCTGCTCATGAAGATTGTTTCGATGTTGGAGAACCATCATTTTGTAGCCTTAATAATATTAATCACATTTGATTTACTCTTGTCTCATACAAATTTAACTTACCTTTGTAAATTGCATTGAATATCGTTTCGGCGACATTCGTATCCTTGTCTAACGAGCAAACATTCAAAAGGTCACGGTTTTTCATGTTCATAATATTGGTTATCTTATGTGTACAAAGTTTGTAATCGACGGATTTAAATGAAGCGGCTGGGTTAGTCTCGTCATTTTGAAATTCTTTTTTTAGTCGATCATTAATTTCATCGCGTTTTGGAACACTAAAACTTTGAGCATGTTCTTGTGAAAATTATAAAAAGTTTTCTCTTACCTTTCAGGATTTTGCTTTAGCAAATCGCTTAATACATCAGCCATTCTACCGCTACCCTGATGGAATATAAAACAAAAAACACTTGGTTAATACAGGGTGGCCCAAAAGTCAAGTTACCGAGAAAAAAATTGAATATCTCCATTACAGCTTGTTCAAGTGGACTCATTTTTTTTTACTAAGGATAGAAGCATGTTCATACTCCAAGCCCAATACGGATAAGATTAGTGGGAACCTTTGTTAAATATCACTATTGATCTCAACAAGAAAATTTTACCTTGTCACAGATAGGAAAAGAAAACAATATATCTAACAAAGGTTCTCACTAATCTTGTCCGTATGGATTTGGAATGTGAACATAATTACCTCAATTTTTGGGTGAAAAAATCAGCTTGTTTTCTCGAGTCATAATAGAGATATTCAATTTTCTTCTCGATAAAGTGACTTTTGCACCATCTTGTATAGTGGGTTTTTTCCTACCTGTGAAAAAGCAAAATTTTCGTATTCAGGTCAACAATGATACTTAACAAAGGTTCTCACTAGCTTTATCTATATGGGCTTGGAGTATGAACATGCCTTCATCCTTGGTAGAAAAATGAGCCCATTTTGACAAGCTGTAATGGAGATATTGAATTTTTTCTCGGTAACATGACTTTTGGGTCACTCTGTATTATATTATGTCTTTCTTACGTCTATAATCACAACAGGACGATTATCTTCCAAATCATTCTCTATCACTTCCAATGTATTTTTACCCCCTTCAACAATAACTGTTACCGCATAGCCTAAAACCGAAAGACAACGTCAGAGAAGCATTGCATTACCATATTATTGTGTCCTCACAGTTTTCTTTCTTGTTGTATGCGTTTTGTACGAATCTACGCCGCTGTTCGTCGCCTATATAATCAGATAATTGACCATCATCGAACAATATCATATATGTATGATGTTGTTCTATTGTCTCAACATCAGTTTTTTCCAACATTGCTTGAAGCAATTTATAGTCTTCTGTTTTTGCGTCATCAATTCTGCCATTTTTCTGGCGTGTAAACTAAAAGCGAACAGAACTATTATATTATAAATCTTTTCTCAATTGACTATTGTACTTTTTCCGATAACAGTTCTCTAGTTTCTTCATTTAGACTTCCCCATTTTGTCAAACCAATACTGACTATGTCTTTTGAACGGCCATTTAATATTCGGTCTTGTAATATGGCTTCGCCAACCAATTTGGCAACACCAGTGTTTAAACCACTAGTCAATATCCATCCATCTTCGGAAAAAAGAATGTTATTCTGCCAATTAAACTACAGCTACGATCAGGCCTTTCATATGTATAAGCTCGTAATCTTTCGTTTATATTTTCATACTTTGGTTATAATCCTTTTCATTACAGGGTGTCACATAACCTTTGCCTCATCCTCTATAACGTATAGTATCAATGATATCACAAATGCATTTTATACCAAATTAAAGTGCGTCAGAAACTTGATTTATAGGGTGTTAAATGACAAAGTTTATAAAGACCTATTAATGTCGAATATCAAAAAAAAAATATTTAGAAAATCTCAAAAAATGTTCAAAAACTTCAGTTTTTTCAACTGAAAGAAAAGCACTCAGTTTTTAAATAAAATTAGCTTTTGTTCATTCTTTTTGTTGTCTCAGACGTTTCAAAATGTGCTCATTGGATGCCGTTTTTCACACAGAATCGGGTGTGTATATTTCGAAACATCTGAGACAGTAAAAATAATGAACACAAGCTAATTTTATTCAAAAATCGAGTGCTTTTCTTTCCGTTGAAAAAACTAAAGTTTTTGAGCACTTTTTGAGATTTCCCAAGTAGTTTTTTTTTATATTCGACATTAAAAGGTCTTTATAAGTTTTATCATTTAATACTAATAAATCAAGTTTCTGACGCGCTTCAATATGGTATAAAAGATATTTGTGATACCATTGATACTATAAGTTGTAGAGGGAGTGGGGGTGGAGGCAAAGGTTATGTGACACCCTGTATTCTAATACTAAGGTTATTTCTTTATTCTTGCGATAGATGCACAAAGCAGTAGACCTATCAATCTCTTAATTTTTTTGTTCATAATTATAGTAGTATCAGTATTCGACTCCGGTTGGATCACTAAAATAGTGTTTCACCTGGAGTCAGATCGGGTTGGGTCAAAATAAATTGATCGATGTCGAGGTTTACATAAGAAAAATACGAGCTCTAGATGAGCTAATGACCTTGTTCTAGTCAATTATGTCAGTACTTGTACAGGTGCATTTAAAAAGTGCTGAACCTCTGAAAAAACTTGCTTTAATTGGCCAAAAAGTATATTTGTGCTCGAGTCGAGTGAAGTCACCAAAAAAAAACAAATGTAGCTCTCTTGTCGGATCGAATCGGATTAAATCACGATGAAGTCCCGTCAAAAAAGTTTTGACATATGTCGGACTCTAATCGATAGGTGCATTTTGATTTTTCTCACTTCTCTGTCGGCAGCTACATCGACAATATCTTCGTTAAGAACATATATGATCTAGGGGTGTTGCATAACAACCTGAAATTTTTTTTTGTTCTTCGTAATCCTCTTAATAGTGTGGTCTCACATGATGCGGATTGTAATTGATAGACATATATATATATATATACGACATGTACAAAATAACGTCAATCAATAACATTCGATCTTCTTTCATTTATATTCTTTTCTCTTTACAAACGATCAAGTAAGTAACTTTTTTCGAAACTAGTTCGACGGTAAGCTTCATTATGAACAATGATTTGATCAAAAATTCTCATTTATTACCATTAAGTATACAAAATACCTTTTCTCAAAACTACCACTACACATTATGAAAAATTGGTTTTCTCGAGGACATATTAGAAGACTCCCTTTGGAATCTGTGAACGATCAGACAAAATATAAGACCCGAGGTCATCTAATGTGTCGATGGCTTTATTATTCTTATTCCATATGATCATTTGTTCGTCTTTTTTCTCATACTTAGATAAAAATTAAACATTACCAGCAATTGTAGCTGCATCAATAATACCACGCATGAATTCCTTCTCCAAACGCTCGTTCATTTTAAAATATTTTGTACCTCCAAAAATGCTTATTATTAAATGTGGTTGTTGCTTGCAATCATCGTATATGAGTTTGTAAAGTTTTTCTTCTGATATTTCGATATCACAATGAATAAACTAAACGAAAAGAAAAATTTTCATCTACAAACGGGAAATATACCCTTTTTACTTTAGTTGAGCGTGATTCATATGGATTGTACAAAACACCAACATTTTTGATACCTTCTATCAGTACCGAACAAGATTCAGAATTCCATTTATCATTACTTTGTGATTTGGATTGACCTTCATAGCTGTTCGACTTTTTCAAACAACCAGAGCCACATTTGTCGCTTTCTTGTTGTTGAAATGATACTTGTTGTAATTGTTGTTGTTCACTAAACAGGATACAAGTGGAAGAACGTTTCAAATTCAAATCTGATATGTCATCATGCCGCTTTTCATATGAGCTTTTATCAGATGACATCTATAAGTAACTTTCCAAAAAAGAAAAATATATATATTGGAAGTTTGTAGAATCAAAACTACAAAATCAAACTTATATTTTGTATCAAAGCACGAAATTTAGGTTTGCCTTTCATTCATTTTCCAAGCATATAAAATCATCTTGAAGGGAAAACAGTATACAAGGTGGCACAATACCTTTGCCTTCCCTCTCTTCAGCCTTATACATAAATGATATCATAAAGTATTTTATACCAAATTAAAGTGCGTCGAAAACTGGATTCATTGGTACTAAATAGTAAGAGTCATCAGAACCTTTTGATGTCGAACTTAAGAGATGCTCCATGAGAAAACCAAAGATTTTTTAATATCGAAAAATATGGGGGGTCAAAGGATTTTGAATCTGATCTCATAGGAAGTTAGGCCTTAATGTATCATATAACAATCCAAAGTTTTATGGTCTAAAGACATACTACTGATCGGATAGGATGCACTGATCTGAGATACCCCCAAGTTCACCTTTAAAAATTGTAAAAAAAAGTGAAAAATTAGTGCGTTAATTTTTGTGAATTATTTTCTTGTAAATTTTTTTCTATTCAAATCGAGTCATATACCAATCGATAGAGCTTGACTTGCTCTACAAAACTATATACATGTCATTTCTCTTTATCATCAATATAGAATCAAAAAAATCAAAATACTTTTTATCTTTAGTGTACAAGTTTTTTGTACTTTTCAGTATTTCAATCAAATGTTTGGGTCAGAAATCGATTGCCAAAAATATCTTTATATCAGTTCGTAGCACTTTTAATTCTGCATTGAATCATATATAGGACATTCTTTAAAAATGTTCTAGAACCGAGATAATGACCTTCGAACATTGATTACTGACGTCATTTTTTACCTAATTTGAATCAAAATTAATAAAAACACTATAATCATACAAGTAACGCTCGTCTACGTGACTCGCTTGACCCTCGACTAAATATTCAGCTGCTTGAATATTGTATACTGCTTCGCAGCCCTCACCACAGCTAGTATCGAAAGTTTGAAAAGGATGCACATGAATGCGAATATTGACATTCGCATCAATGTCCTTGTGTACAATGACATGCATGTATCTATGATACGTTTTCTTATAAATTCATCGAATGAAACTGAGATACATTCAATGGTATCCAACGAAAATCTAAATGAATAACACTAAGGTAGCAGTATCTATCCCATGTAAAAAAAATACGGAAAAAATCAAATTAAAATCGATTACAATTTGATGAAAAATCGATTATAATCATACACCTCTAACCGAGAACGAATCGATTATAACGGCAGAAACAGTTATTCTACTATACTACTTGTTTAAAATTGATTAAGACTGATTTTAATCGATTACAAATGTATGATTATAATAGATTCCTAATTAATTCTGAATCAATTAAGAATCGATTCGAAATCAATTAAAATTCACAGCAATTATTACGAATCCACCTACATTCTTGCTAGACTATAAAGACTATAGCCTACGAATTAGATCGGAATGGTGGTATCTCAATGTCTAAATCCTTACGCGTATATCGTTTAACTGCATTCCTACAGGTATATTTTTTAGACTGTATTCTTATACCTATGCCTGTATGACTATATCCTTATACCTATACACTTATACCTCTAATATTGTCAGGTGGGGTTAATTCAAAATTAAAGCAGTAATTTATTTTTGTTGTCTTTTTTTATGTGAATAGAACTCATCGAATTACATAGGAAAAATACTACGTTACGCGTTTAAAAGTTGGTTTTCGCTGAAGAAAATTCCAAATAATTAAGATGAGCTCATGTTTGGACATTTTGATCATCCAAATTTTTTCTCAAATAAAATTTACGTGATATTTAAAACCAACATAAAAAGCTGAATCGAAATACATAGATTTTATTACAAAATATTTTTTATCAAAATTCAATCTGAGTGGGAGCTCCGATTAAATCACTCTGAATAAGCCATAGAAGAAGAGATCAAATTTCGATGAAAAATATTTTGTAATACGATCTATGTTATTCGATTCAGCTTTTTATGCTGGTTTTAAATATTATATGAATTATATTTGAAAGCAAAATTTTGATGATCACAATGTCCAAACATGAGCTCATTCTTAATCATCGTACCACTAATATAAAAAACATGATTTTTCAAGTAATGCATCATTATTATTTTAAACAGGCACGCACCTTTTTTTCATTGATGTACTAACTGTAATCCACTAAAAGAAAGTTTTTCATCATTTATGCAAAGTACTTGATAAGTTGGCAATGCACACAGAAGGCATTTTATCAGGGTTCTACTCATGTTTCGAGGGAACACCGTTCATTTTAGACCACAAGAACGGATAATCTGGTGTTTTATATACAGTTTTACATGCAAAATTACAAAAGATTACTTTTGGAATTCGACACATTAATAAACACGAGAATTCGGCATTATATGTAAAACTTCATTCATTTGGCATGCTTTTGAAAAACTCATTATTTTGAATTTTGTTCAGCGAAAACTAAGTTTCAAATCTCTAACATGATACTTTTCCTATGTAACTCGTTGAGCTCTCTACACATAAAACAAAAAAAGATAAATTTCTGCTTAAATTTTGAACTTCCTTCAACTTGCCTATACCATTATGACTATATCCTTATATCTATACCCATATACTTATATTCTTGTACCTATACTCGTATGTCTATACCCTTACACCTATATCCTTATACGCATACCCCTATGACTATGCCCTTAAGAGTGTATCATCACACGTATAACCTGATACTTTTTCTCTTACGATCAAATCCCTGAAGTACTAAAAAGCTTTTGAGCTCAAAATCGGTGCACCCTACGCCACATATACAGCAGAAAAAGCTTAAAAGAATATGAGTACAAGTTACACTCCGGCCGTCATATCGACAGTGTAGTATAACTGTGGGTGTGGGTATGGGTGATTATGGGTGTTGTTGAAAACAATCGTACACACACTCACCCACACCCACACCTTACTTCAAAAATTAGTCATCTGGATCGATATATGCGTATCAGATGCTTAAGAGTAAATAGTAAAAAACAATTATTTAATAGCTTTATCACAATTATACAATTCCAACATTCGTAAATCAAATCATACAGTAGCAAAGTATAAATTACGCATATAGAAAATTTATCTAACGAGGTTTTCTATGATATATTTGACTGTCTTGGTGGTTGTGAAACATATAAAGCATTTTTCAATCTCAATGGTCGTTTTGAAAATTTTCTCTTTTATTCAAATTTTTCATTGAAGTTTAATCTTTCTTTGAAATTCAAAACAATATTTCCATCATATTGTCATCGGATTATTATTCGTAATAGACATCGAATCATTTCATTCCGTTTATCTAAAATATCGACTATAAAAAAGTTTATGAAATACATTACTCATCATTTGTTATTTGACTATCTTCAACCACTCATTATGAATATTATAACAAAAGCGAAAGTTGAATTGCTTCTTACTTACTTAGATTGTCTACGACGGTTGGTTTCATTGGTAATAAATATTAGAGGAAATTTGCAAAAATTTAAGTCATATATATAACTCAAGTTTTCAATTGCCTTCCTTAAAATATTCTAAAGTTTCATTGAGTAAATGCCAAAGATTCAATTTTCATTCGATGGCTTCATATAACTCCATCAGATCTATTCAACGTCTTGTTATTGATTACTCTTGCACACTCAAACTTTGCCACCTCACTTATAGTAACATTTGTGATTCGTTACAAAACATATCGACAATTACAGTGACATCACTCTCCAAGTTGTCTCATATTTCTATCAGCAGTTGTTATGTGCCTTTTATAGATTTTGAACGATTTGTCATTAACATATCTTCGCGATTACCAGTATTGAATATAAATACATATGGAGATATAGCTTATCTGAACTCTCGACCATGGAAATAATTTATTTTACGATATAGCTATACTTACACAAGTTCGAATTTAAATATCAAAGTATATTCGATACTCAGCAAAGTCAACAATTTTCAGTATTAGTCTGTGTATTAAAGTCACCATTTTCGATAGAACAACAATGGCATGCTAAAGTTCAACCTCGAGTATCTTGTTACTCTTGAGGACGAGAACAAAAAAAAATATCTATACCCACTCACACTCTAACCGTATGTTGCTCTGAATATCTTCCTGTAAACTATTTTGTGGAAGTGGATAGATGGAAGATATTTATTTGATGATAAAATGACTAAAAGGACAACTATTGGCGTGGGGCAATAAAACAACAGGTGTTCGTAGCCCAAATTTGTTGATTATTGTTATCATAGAAAACTAAATTGCCATCATCCTGCAATGCCAAACGGCCACGATTAGCGTTCTAAATAAAAGAAAAGGAAAACAGAATGAGTGGCAGAAGATCTTTGATTCGTTTTTACTTGTCTACGTGTGTTTGAAGCCCAGCTAGCTTGGTTGTTGCCATCGTAGATGACCAAGTTGCCATCAGCCTGTACTACAAAGCGATGAGGACCTCTTCTGAACGAACCAGACGTCCAGAGAGCATTGACTGGCACGGTATTGTCAGAAGCGTACAGTACGAGATTTCCGTCAGGTTGCAGTACCAAACGGTAGGCACCCTTTGGAGATGTTAGTGCTTCATCCTGCTCGAGTTGTTGACCTGATTGAAGAGTGTTCCGTGGAGCTGAGAAAAAAAAACAAAATTTGATACTCTCATTACAGTTTCTCTACACTATTGATCTTGTACGACCTAAAGAAAAGGTCCACGAACATACCTTGAATACGCCAGGCAGCTAATGCTTTACTTATCTGTTCCAATTGGTTCCTCATACAACTAAACTGACCTCCTCCCAAATTGTTGTGTTGTCTTTGTCCGACCAAATGGGTCCAAAGAACAGCCACCTGAGCAAAATTATCGGCGTAGTTGGAATTAGCATAGGGGTCAGGTACACACCCATCATTCTGAACAGCAGAGCGCCAATCTTGTGATGCTGATGTACCACGATCTGCGGAGTGTGCTGATTCATGTATGAACACGGAAATGTGCATATTTGGATGGCAATAGAAAGAAACATCTCCACTCGATCCAGCCCCACCACATTTTTCCGCTGTGGCTGAAATCATAGCTCTATTGTGTCGTCGAATGGCATAAGGAACTCGCCCCATCATTTCGATCATATATTGGGCGCTCATAACTGCATTAGGACACATGCATAAAACGAGCCGTTGATTACCTATACCATGGTAAGTAATCGTGTGAACACTTTGGGGAGCGGCACCACTGCAATGGCACAATGACGCATCACCGCCAGGAGTGGAAGTATATGGTGGAGTTTTGAGAAAACTAAAATTGAGTTCATCACCAAGACCCGGCAGTAACGGGCGTTTGCCGAGATTTTGTTTACTGGGACACACCAGCAACGACAAAATAATCATAAAGACAAAGAAGAAAGTGCTCTTTGTCAGCATGCTATATATGAATAGAAAATTTGCTTTCGTTGATAGTAAGTTGAAGATTTTAATATTTTCTTATTTTTTTCAATATTTATATCGAAGGTTATTTAAAACCCTGAAAAACAACACATCTGTTTATACAGATGCTAGTTAACTCATAAGTCCGTTGACTAGTGTGATAAACGATATTTGATGCCGTCCTATATTCCTTACATTCGATGCGTTTGATAACATGAGAGAATCATTATTTCACGTCCCTTCACAAAAATAACTCAACAAGTAACGCTCGTTGGTGTAACTCGCTGGACCCTTGACTGAATATTCGGCCCTTTGATATTTTATACTGTTTTACAGTAATCAAAACAGCTAGTATCCAACGTGTCAAAAGAATGGATGAATGTGTGTGTTCATATTAGCGTCAATCTTGTTGTACATAATGGTATGGGAGTCCGAATGAACATTTTTGCCACAAATACATCTAATCAAATCGATATCTCCATATTTATACTCAACAATAGTCTAAGAAACTACATTATGGCGGCGATATCCACATGCATCCAAAAAACAGATTATATTCAATTTTCTGAGAAGTCACGAAGCAAAACGCATTCATGACACTATTGTGAAACAGCGCCATACTGCTTGAAATTTCTACTAGAAAACTATTGGCTTACCAAAGCATCAGCCGACAATATTTTTTACTGGAGTGTGCGCTACAAAAATACGGGTTCAACTGAACTCCTAGCTTAAAATTAATCGTACCAGATCTAGTCTTCAATCGAACTGCCATACTTGAAAGAAGCTCCTACTCAAAGTAACCGTCAGATTAGATAGGTAATTTGAATATATCTGTATACATTTCGACATTTGAATGAGTACAGACAAGAACACATACCAGCAGAAAAATTCCCGTTTATTTCATTTATATCTACTTCTGTTACCATGAATATAAAACTTGTGACTGATGTTTCTCCACCAAATGTAGTATTAAAATATTGTGCACGTGCATAAAAAGCGTTGTCACACTTTATTTCAAAATATTTGTCAGTTCTTACCAACTGCTAGTCCTTATTCAAACCCATTAGGTCTAGACTGTTGATTTTTGTTTGATAAATACAAACAGCCTGAAGTGTGTCTTCCAGAGATTTTTTAGTGCACCGGCTAGTCGTTCGTCGGAAACCCTTCGAGACACTACTCATGTCTAGTCACTGTTATGTTTCATTCTATTTCTCCATAACGCCATCTTTTTCTTATTTAGACTTCACCTAATCTCAAATTCGGCTTAATTTGACACACTATTTGATCTGTAGCACGAGAATTCTCGATGGCAATTTCTAAACCAAAGCATCATTGTGAACTATTTCTGATTTCTTCAATTTCATTCTGTAACTGGAAATCAGAATTTTATTGAAATTTCTCATTAAGGAAATATTGGTGAACATTCTCAAAAAAATCTAGCTTTTAAACTTATTTTTCATGAGCGAAGTCTGCAGAATGGTTGCAATACGAACCATTAGTCGTTCGTTTTACATAAGTGCACTTATGCAAACAGTTTGTTTATTGTTATTTAACATAAAAGATATGACATCATTTTTATAGATCAAATGTTTACTACTTTCTTCGAGTTATCGCAACTGGAAATGTCACAAGTTGGAGACCCTCCAAACATACACAAGGTTAAAAAATTGGTTTTTTATAATAATAATAAAAAACAATTTATTGACATATCCCAGTTTAAGGCCCTGCTCTATCTGTGTATAGATTTCCTCAAAACATAGATATAACCATATGAAAGAAGTGGGAGAAATACGCTTTCGACATCAGTTCTATTGAAAAACTATTAGAATACCTAGCCGATTTTTATCCATTTCCTCTATCGTTTTAAAAGATAGTGTTGTCTCTCTTTGAACATGCATGGCTTTTATTATGCTTTTAAAAACTGCCGAGATACGAAGATTTGACATGGGAAGCACCTCATAGTGGAATCACAATGGTATCTTTATAACAAATACGTAAGGCTTCAAGGCGCGAATCACTTCGATCGTTTAGAGTTGTGAAGAATATTGTTGAGGTATTGCTAATCTGCTTGTCTTCGCAATTTTTCAAGGTATTCTAATAGTTACCTATGCACAACAAATAGCTCTAATGTCTCTTCGAATCATAGAGCACCGGTTCAAATCACCAAGGTTTTCTTATAACTATCGAATAATCAGAACAGATTTAAGTAGCATATTAATTGCTATCTTTTTCATTAAATTCATGAATAGCCGCAAATGGTCCATGTTTACGAGAAAAAAGTCACTAACGTCATTACTATTTTCATAAAATTGGCAAAATTTGTCAATATTCACTTTCATTTTCTTCGTTTCATACGTTTAGACACAATCTAAAGCTCACATAAACTATACTTAATTACTGGTATCATTTAAGGATAGAAAAATCTTCTGAACACTGATAGACTAAAAGGGCTTACGAGAGATATTGCAATATCAAAAGACTTACGTCTGCTTGTTGTATTAATGCGATGTATATTGTAATGACGAATGTAACACGTTGGTAATGTATCGATGTTGTTTAATAAAGAAAATGAAACTGTTATATTGCTTATATACATATCGCAAAAAAAATGTTTAGCTTGCGTGCATTCAACTGTATAAGTGGGATACAGCATGATCATATATTAATAACACAGACTGTTTTTTCCTCACAAAATATTATGACTCTTTTGCTTATTCTATCATGTATCGATCACGCAGCTTGATTCATTAAGAGAGAGTTAATCGATGATTAAAAAAATATGCGTAATATCACGATTTATTATTATGTTTCTTTCTATTGTTGCACAGGATAGGTGAAATATACAGGTTTTCAGTAGTGTCCGAATGCTGTGAATTCCGGACTCTTGAGCAATTCTTGAATTCAAAATTTATATAACATGCACGGGCACTAAGAAATCACACTACCAACGAAAAAATTAACTATACACCTATGTTTGATCTAAAATATAGAGTTTATGTGTAAATAAATTTTCTTTTTAGATATATATAAATAGGAAAAATATAGATATTTATAATGCAAATAAAAATTTCATATGAAGACACAAACTGTTGATATACTTTCTGAGTCTTTTTAATACATGCTTGAATAATATATAATGATAAATCATCTAAAGCTTCATCAGCAACATTCTCTGGTTCATCTCGTGATTTTGGATTCTTCTTTTTAACTTTTTGTTTGATAATGTTCCACATTAGTTCAATAGCATTAAAATCAGGACTATTACCTGGCCATTTACATAGTTCAATATTATGTAGATGACAACATTGTTTGAATTGAGCACTTCTGTGCCATTTAACTCCATCAGAAACATATTAAAATCCGTTCAATTTTGATAAATTTCCCGATAACGCTTCATTCACTATCTCACAATATGAATCAGTATTTAACCAATTATTAAACCGACGAAAAACATAACCATTCCACCAAATGAAACCAATTAAATTAACATGTGCTCGCAAAGATGATATTTCCTTCGTCGGTGTTGGCTCTCCTCGTTCACACCAAACAATTTGTTGTGTGCTTCTTAAACCCACATAACATTCATCTTCAAAAATATAGCTTTTCATATTAGCATGATGATGAAATGCAGCAAATTGATATCGTTTTTCTTCATTGATATTGTTGCTCTTGACTTTAACAAGAGACTTAAGAGGACGATAACCAAGAGATCGACGATAAAGTTGTATCGTGCGTTCGGTAGTGTTGAAGTTTGTGAGTGATAGTAATTCAGCTGCAGTAGTTGACAGGTTTCGTTGTATAATTCGATCAAGTTGTTTAATTTGTTTTGAATTGAGTGCAGGTGGACGACCAGCATTATATCTATCAGTATAGTTTACATCATTATGACGATGATAATAATTAATGACGTTGTATATTGTAACATGTGTACACTTGAAGGAACGAACTACTTTTAAGATATTTATAGTGCCTTTTTTTCACTCACTGATGATATACCAGCATTGTACTTCAGTTAGTTTATACATTTTCAATAGAATCATCCAGCAACAAACTAGGAATCAGACATAAAATATACGAAAGTAAAGATACAGTAACTGACCATTAAGTATTTTATTCAACATATCAAACCTTCGAAAAAAAAATTCTAAAAGTCTAACACATAAGATTGGTATCGTTGGAAAGAGTGCAAAAAACTGAGTATTATCCTAGGATATCAGCGCGGAGTATAGTGTAGCCCCAAACAAAATTTTTTCAAACAAAATTCCCTGTAAGAAGAACTTCTTTGTTCTTTCTTTAGTTTCTTCTTTCGTTCAGTCATTAGCGATGACGTATATATATATATATACGCTTACGATAGAACGAAAAGAAAAACTTCGTAGACATATATTGAGAAGAGTGTGTAACATTCTTCACGATGATAATCCATAATTAAAAGATTATTTAAAGATTTAATTCTATAATAAAAATTCTATAAATTCTGAGTATTAAAATTAGTTTTGAAATTTAACAATTTATTAGACGACTAAAATATTATCTGTCATCTGAAGCGTTCTTTTGCTTAATTCATATTCAAAAATCTTGCTTTTTTATTTCTTTTTTTTGAAAATCGCATAAATGTATGACACTTAATCCAATCAAGTAGAAGGAGCTTCATTTTTTCAAGCTGAATTAATCCGATTGCTGTCTATCATATGCATAAAATTTGATGAAAAATGATTATGTTCTCGGTGAATAAAAGTAGCATATTCGGATTTAGCGTGGTCCATTACCACCGCTCATGTTGAGATCTCCAAAGGGTAAT